GAGCAAGAGGACTGTAGCGCATAAGTTGGCAAGGCTGATCAGGAGGGCTTTAAACTAGGTTTGAAGGGAGAAGGGATTGAAACCGGCTCTCCAGTGATCAGCCTAAGGACAGAAAGCCCGAGTTAAGAATGAAATCAGCAGCCCACCTGAAGTGCATGTACACCAATGCATGCAGCATGGGCAACAAACAAGAGGAGCTGGAAGCCATCGTGCAGCAGGAAAGCTATGATGTAGTTGCCATCACAGAAACATGGTGGGATGACTCACATGACTGGAGTGCAGCCATGGATGGCTACAAGCTCTTCAGAAGGGATGGGCAAGGTAGGAGAGGTGGAGGGGTGTCTCTGTATGTTAGAGAGTCTCTTGACTCTTTAGAACTTGAAGTCAGTAACGATAAGGTTGAGTGCCTGTGGATCAAAATCAGGGGGAAGGCCAACAAGGCTGACATCCTGGTGGGAGTCTGTTACAGACCACCCAACCAGGATGATGAGGATGATGAATTTTTCTACAAGCAGCTGGCAGATGTCTCAAAATCGCCAGCCCTTGTTCTTGTGGGTGACTTTAACCTGCTGGATGTCTGCTGGGAACTCCACATGGCAGAGAAGAGGCAGTCTAGGAGATTCCTAGAGTGTATAGAAGACAATTTCCTGCTCCAGCTGGTAAATGAGCCTACCAGGGATGGGGCCCTGCTAGACCTGCTGTTCACAAACAGAGAGGGGCTGGTGGGAGATGTGGTGGTCGGAGGATGTCTGGGGCATAGTGACCATGAAATAATAGAATTCTCAATACTCAGGGATACAAGAAGGGCCATCAATAAAACCTCTACACTGGACTTCCGGAGGGCAGATTTCAGCCTGTTCAAGAGACTGGTTCAGAGGGTGTGGCAGTAAATCTGCAGTATATGAGAAAACTGGTTTAAACATGTTTCAAAATGGCTTTTTGTAGTCTCTTTGCTAACTCATGCTTTCTTCTTCCCAAGACCCCCCATGACAAGTGTTATCCCATGCAGGAATGTCCTGGGAAGATGTCCTAAGGTGTTCTCATTGGACCTTGTTAACCCCTTCCTGTGACTGGGTGTTCCTGTAAGCCCCTTGAGACTTCTAATTGGTTACTCTGTGAGTCCCTCTAACCCTATAAATGTAACCCCCCCAACAATAAACCGTCTCTTGCCTCCTCTCCACGCCGGTGTACTGTCTCTGTGCCTGCCATGGAGCCACGTGGGTGGGGAGAAGGGGGAGCACCTCTCCCCTCCAGGCTCAGGACCTGAAGAAACCCCTGGCACTGGAGTCCCCCCCATCCACTTAAGCCATCGGAAATGGTTCCTCAGATGGAAATGGAACTAGAACTGGGCCGCCCCACGCCATGGGGGGAAAGAGATCCAGATAGGGTACCGTGGGAAACAGCCCTTAAAAACAAAGGGGTCCAGGAGGGATGGACATACTTCAAGAAGGAAGTCTTAAATGCACAAGAGCAGGCTGTCCCAGTCTGCCAAAAGGCAAGCCGGCAGGGAAGACAGCCAGCCTGGCTGAACAGGGAGATCTTGAGGAAAATTAGGATGAAAAAGAGAACCTACCGATTATGGAAAAAAGGACTGGCTACTCAGGAAGAGTTCAGGAATTTAGTTAGGTCATGTAGAAAGAAAATCAGAGAGACGAAGGCAAGATTTGAACTCAATCTTGCCACTTCTGTTAAGGAAAATAAAAAGTCTTTCTATAGATACATCAGTAGCAAAAAGAGGGACAAGGAAAACCTCCATTCTTTAGTGGACATGGGGGGGAACATAGTTATTAAAGATGAGGAAAAGGCTGAGGTATTTAACACCTTCTTTACCTCAGTCTTCAATGGTAGGACAGGTCTCTCTGAGGACAACTGGCTTCTGGAGCATGTAGATAGGAATATGAAGCTGAATAGTCCCCCCGTAATCAAGGAGGAAACAATCAGCGACCTGCTGAGCGACTTGGATCCTCACAAGTCTATGGGACCAGATGGGATCCACCCAAGGGTGATGAGGGAGCTGGCGGAAGAGCTCACCAAGCCTCTCTCCATCGTTTACCAACAGTCGTGGCTCACTGGGGAGGTCCCAGATGATTGGAAGTTGGCAAATGTCACACCAATCTACAAAAAGGGCCGGAAGGAGGACCCAGGAAACTACAGGCCCATCAGTCTGACCTCAGTGCCTGGCAAGGTTATGGAGCAGATCATCCTGGGTGCAATCACACAGCACCTACAGGATGGACAAGGGATCAGACCCAGCCAGCACAGGTTTAGGAAGGGCAGGTCCTGTCTGACCAATCTGATCTCCTTTTATGATCAGGTGACCCGCCTGGTGGATGAGGGGAAGGCTGTGAATGTAGTCTATCTGGACTTCAGCAAAGCCTTTGACACTGTCTCCCATAATATACTCCTGAAAAAACTGGCAGCCCATGGCTTGGACAGGGGCACTCTGTGCTGGGTTAGGAACTGGCTGGAGGGCCAGGCCCAGAGAGTGCTGGTGAACGGGGCTGCATCCAGCTGGTGGCCGGTCACCAGTGGTGTCCCCCAGGGATCAGTGTTGGGCCCAGTTCTGTTTAATATCTTTACTGATGATTTAGATGAGGGGATTGAGTCCATCATTAGCAAATTCACAGACAACACCAAGTTGGGAGGGAGTGTCGACCTGCTGGAAGGCAGGAGGGCTCTGCAGAGGGACCTGGATAGGTTGGAGAGTTGGGCTGGTTCCAACGGAATGAGGTTCAACAAGGTCAAGTGCCGGGTCCTGCACTTTGGCCACAACAACCCACTGCATCGCTACAGGCTGGGGACAGAGTGGCTGGAGAGCAGCCAGGCAGAAAGGGACCTGGGAGTGCTGATTGACAGGAGGCTGAACATGAGCCAGCAGTGTGCCCAGGTGGCCAAGAAGGCCAATGGCATCCTGGCCTGTATCAGGAACAGTGTGGCCAGCAGGACCAGGGAAGTGATTCTTCCCCTGTTCTCAGCGCTGGTGAGGCCTCACCTGGAGTACTGTGTCTAGTTCTGGGCCCCTCAGTTCAGGAAAGATGTTGAGGTGCTGGAGCAGGTGCAGAGAAGGGCAACGAGGCTGGTGAAGGGACTTGAACACAAGTCCTATGAGGAGAGGCTGAGGGAGCTGGGGTTGTTTAGTCTGGAGAAGAGAAGGCTTAGAGGCGACCTCATCACTCTCTTCAACTACCTGAAGGGAGGTTATAACCAGGTGGGGGTTGGTCTCTTCTCCCAGGCAACCAACAATAGGACAAGGGGACATGACCTTAAGCTGTACCAGGGGAGGTTTAGGTTAGATATTAGAAAGAAATTCTTTACAGAGAGGGTAATCAGGCATTGGAATGGGCTGCCCAGGGAAGTGGTGGATTCTCCGTCCCTGGAGGTTTTTAAGATGAGGCTGGACGTGGCACTTAGTGCCATGGTCTAGCAACTGTGGTGGTAGTGGATCAAGGGTTGGACTTGATGATCTCAGAGGTCCTTTCCAACCCGTCTGATTCTATGATTCTATGATTCTCTTAACAGCATAGGCCTTGCCTTGACAAAAGACTAAACATTTCTACTGAATTCAGGGGTAGATTTGATATGGGGAGCATAGAATGGGGTGAGAGGGTTAAGGAATGTGTAAACTACTTGTGCTACAGGGTAGGGAACAAGGGCTGCTGCTTCTACTTCTTATAAAACTTATAAAGCTTACAAAATTAGAAAAATAAGAAACTAAAAGTGTCTTAAGGCATCACACACAAAGATATTTTGCTAGAAAAGATAACAGCACCAATAACAAACTCAAAAATAGAACACAGCTAATTATTAATTATAGCCTTGCATTGATTTGTTTATTATATTTGGGAATTAAAAAAACAAATTTTAACTTGCTCAGATTCTGTAAAATACAAATATGCATAATTTTGAAGGTATCTAAAATTGTCTTAAACTACATCTGTTCTAGTCTTTGTGCTAAACAACAGAGGTATGTCCCTGTTACCAAGTAGCAACCTTAGACCAAAGCTGCTACTGCTTTCCCAAGAAGCATCCCTAGTCCCCTGGCATGCTCCTATAAGCAAGATCCTGATTTAAAGAAACCTGAAGGCTGGATGACACTGCTTAAGTTGGAAGGGACGTGATTCTTCTCCAGTTTCATTCTTTTGCATCCAGAGAGACAGAACTCTGCCCTATGAATTACTGTGAATCCTTACATTAGAAATGGCAAATACATTGCCTGTGTCTGACAATTTAGTTGACCTTTATGACAACCAAAGTGTGCCTCCTCTAGAACTAAACATCAGCAACTCCTGTCCAACTAATCTTCCTAATATAAAAAAGGAGTTCAAAAAATTCCAAAGCAAGAGCATTGGCTAAAGAGAGGCAAAAGAAAAACAACCACAACTTAATTGAACGAAGAAGAAGATCTAAAATTAATGATTGTATAAAAGAACTGAGCACCTTGATACCCAAGTCAAATGACCCAGATATGTGCTGGAATAAGGAAATTATCCTAAAAGCCTCAGTGGATTACATCCATAAACTGCAAAGAGAACAGCAGTGCATGAAAGAGCTGGAAAACAACCTGAAGAAACTGGAATATGCCAGCAAACACCTGTTGCTCAGAATACAAAAACTTGAGATGCAAGCTCAAGCACATGGACTATTCCTTGTTCCATCTACAAGCCTTTACTCCCCTGATATAGTCAACAAGGTCATCAAACAAGAGCCTGTGCTGGACAACTACACCCAAAACATGATGCCACGCCACACAAACCTGTCCTGCACCACCACTCTCAACCTCACTGACGGCACCATCGCCTTCAGTGACAACCTCGGGAACGTGACTAAACCAACTGACACTTACAGTGTTCCTGCAAAATTGAGATCCAAACTAGAAGATATCCTGATAAACGATAAATATTATTAAAGAAAAGAGAAAAGAAGCTGTGTGTGACTTGATAATAAAAAGGTAAAAGAGATAAAAATATATTTAATCCAATCATACAAATAAACCCTTATCCATGGAGCTGACACAAAATAAGGACAGCTCTAGCCTAAGAGAAACAGAGAGCTCCTTGGACATTTTTAGTTCAAAATTACTAGATCATTCTTACTGTAAAAATTCTCTCAAAAAGCCTTCACCAGAAAACACAGGACTGAAATCAGGGACTCGGAAGGGAGGAAAAATGGATAGTCAGAAAACTTCCCAGGTGACTGATGAGCAGTTGGCAACGTGGCTTTGTGAATTCCTAGACGAAGTCATGAAAAAATATGGCAGTTTAGTACCACTCTGTGAAAAAGATGTCTTGGAAAGATTAAAAGAAGTCTTTAATGAAGATTTCTCCCATAGAAAACCTTTTATCACCAAGTATCGGGAAAAACTTCCAAAACCCTCCACTTGCAATTTCCGGATCTTCTATAATAAGCACATGCTAGATATGGATGATTTGGTTACACTGGAAGGCCAGAACTGGCTGAATGACCAGATAATTAATATGTATGGTGAACTTGTAATGGATGCAGTCCCTGAAAAAGTTCATTTCTTTAAAAGTTTTTTTTATACACAGCTTGTAACCAAAGGATATAATGGGGTAAAACAATGGACTAAAAAGGTAGACTTATTCAAAAAGACTCTCTTATTAATTCCTATTCACCTGGAAGTCCACTGGTCTCTCATTGCTGTGAACATCCCCAGTCAAATTATTTCATTTTATGATTCCCAAGGTATTCATTTTCAGTTTTGTGTAGAGAACATTCAACAGTATTTGCTGACTGAAGCAAAGGAGAAGAATCACCCCGAGTTCCTTCAAGGTTGGCAGACTGCTGTGACAGAATACATTCCACAACAGAAAAATGACAGTGACTGTGGAGTTTTTGTACTCCAGTACTGCAAGCACCTCACCTTAGATCAGCCTTTTCAGTTCTCCCAAGAAGATATGCCCCAAGTGAGAAAAAGGATTTACAAGGAGCTGTGTGAACGCCAGCTAATAGACTAATAAGATGCAGCCAACCTAATTTATCTGGCATTTCTAACAAGTTGCAGCTAGTGTTTGTGTACTTGAATTTCTGAAAACTTTCAAGAATTTTGAACTATTCTCAGTTCAATGGTGTGACCACTGTCGTTACCTCAATTTTTTGATAAGTTCTTTAACTGGCAGAACACGACAGAGCTGCCATAGAATATTCCTAATGTCAGTTTGGTTCTCTTATGTTCTCAGCATGCCTTATAGACAAAGCATGCAACTAAAGCCATAACACTGTAGATTTAGTGTGCCTTTGAGATGTAGCTAGAAATGACAAATATGGGTGAATTTGTTTGGAAACATAAAGATACATGGTGTGTTTTCTGATACAATAATGCTTTGAATCAATAACATATAATAGTCATAGTAGTGAAATTTAGATTATAAAACAACTTAAGTACATTTCAGTTAGAAATTAAAAGTGTATGGGGATTACTTTCTTATGTAGAAGTTTTTAACTCACTCATAAAACAAATTATTATCAGAAAAGCATTTTACACATCAATGAACTTGTAAAAAAAAAGGGGGAAGAGACTATGTATGTGCATAAACAGATGCTAACTCAGAATAGATCTCTTTTAAGTTTGTTAGGCCTTATATTCCTTATAATAATTCCTCTTCAAACCAGGTACAGTTGATAAATGTGACTACCAAAAATGACAAACTGGAAAGTACATAGCCATCTCAAATGTAAAACGTGTAATTGAAGTGTGAAAGTATAATGGAAATTCCAGTTGTGTGTGAGTGAAGAATGACTGAGGTGGCCACCAATGAATGACTGGAATAAGATTGTATGAGAGAGAGAGACTGTATAGGTATATGTGTGCAAACTTAAAAATACTTTATATTAGTGTTAAGATTTTAAGGGAGTGTGTTACATGAATCTGTCGAACCATAGTGAGTCCTTATTCTAGATAGATAAACTCTCTAATTTTTTCTTGGTGAAGTGTTGTTATCCATCCTTATAGTAAGATGCTGCATTTCTTCTTAGCTTTGAATCAGGGGTTGTCAATACTGATGCCTTGCTTGATCAGCCTTGTTGCAAAGGACCCTGCAACAGACTGTCAAGGCCATCTTTGTGGCATTAATACAAAAAAAGGGGGAATTGTCGGGGTCAACAACAGGTCTGTTGGAAGTAAGAAGATGGAAGACAAGAATTACACAAAAGGACTTCCTGGACTTTCTGCAAGTCACAGTGACTCTGCTTTAGCCAGATCATGATGACTAAGCAAATGCTGTATCACCATGAGTTTGCTATTTGACAGCCAATCCTGATGTATGTGTACATGAAGGCACCAATTGTAGGTCGACGTGTGTTGTGTGAAGAGTATAAATATCTGTAACTTTTTGCAATAAAGATCCCTTTATCCTGTCCCTGCCTTGAAAGATGATTCTGTGTCGCTTTAGCCATCTCAACTTAACAGCTACAGGTTGGTAGTTTCCAGGGTCCTCCTTTCTACCCTTTTTAAAGATGGTGTAGGGATGGTTGAGATTTCAGAAGAATTTGTAATCGAAAGCTAGAACTTGTTTTGCTTAGGAAGACTGCAAAATGCCTTCTCAAAGGGTTAGATATTTTTCTCCCTTCTGCAGTCAGAGGGAGTTGCAGAGAGAGCTGTGTTATCTCCCTCTGCTATGCCGGAGAGAGATAACCCTCACAAACATGTACAGGGCCACAGCAGCTGAGAGAAGGCAGGAAGGACAGGGAATAGAAGGTGAAAAGCCCTGGAGAGGGCAGGGCCTTGCCCTTCCTCCCTGGGGCCCAGTGCTTCTATAGCACTGTGAGGTATTTGTAAGTTTTTCATGTTCTGGCATTCTAAATAAACTTGAATTCTTTCCACTGCCTAGGCATTTCTGGGGATACCTGCATATCTTACTTTACGAATGGGTACAATGTTTCCCTTTTCCAGTCACCTGGGACTTCACCTGACTGCCATGGCTTTTCAAATATCATGGAGAATGGCTTGTTAACTACATCAGCCAATTCCCTCAGGACTCTGGGACACATCTCACCAGGTCCCATAGACTTATGTACATTCAGGTTCCTCAGGTGGTCATGAACCAGATCTTTACCGACAGTGGGAGGGACTTTGCTCCCCCAGTCCCCATCCTGCTGTCCATCCACTCAAGAGGTGTGGGAAGAAAGACTGACAGTGAAGACTGAGGCAAAAACATTGTTGAGTACCTCATCTTTCTCCTCATCCATTGTTACTAGTTTTCCAGCATTCTTTATCAAGGGGGACACTTTCTTTGACCTTCCTTTTCTGATTAACATACCTGTAGAAGCCCTTCCTGTTATTCTTTGCATCCCTTGCCAGGTTGAGTTCCAACTTCGCCTTGGCCTTCCTCACCCCATCCCTACACAACCGAACTTGATCTCTATGCTCTTCCTAGGTTACCTGTCCTTGTTTCCACTGCCTGTGCATTTGCTTCTTTCCCTTTAGTTTGACCAGCAGTTCCCTACTCAGCCATGCAGGTCTCTTGCCTTCCTTGCCTGATTTCTTGCTCCTGGGGATTGCCAGCTCTTGTGTTCCATGAAAGACTTATTAGCAAGTCATTTAGTTTAACACAGTATTATTACATCCCCAAAGAATCATAGCCTGGTCTACAAGTGTCATGCTCTATTAAACTCAACATCTGTTTAGTCCCAGAACTTGTCTCCATGATATAGCAGCAGATGCTTCAGAGCAAACACAAGGGAGTTTGCTTTGCACATCAGGACTCATTCCAATCTCAAATAGCTAATGGTAGATATAAATCCCGAATTTACTGTCCCTTCTAAAAGATTGTAGTAATAATTAATAACAATGTTTACAAGAATACCACTTTTGCTCTTCAAGTTAAAAGCGATTCAGCAATATATACATGCTGTGTCTGAGCTCATAAGTATAACTCAAGGTACAGTATCTGTACTGTTAAACTTGGAAAAAAAACTGGTCACGTTCTCTAAACCTTCTATTTCAATAATTTTAGACAAGTAATTATAGTTCCTTTAAGGATTAAATCTCCTACCGGTCTCACAACTTAATTGTCAATGCTGACATTGACTGTCCAGTACAGCCAGCTCCCCCGTTCAAAACTATCCTTGCCATGATTGTCTAGCTGAGTCTGCGGATAACCTGAATAAAACCTGAGTAATATAGATCATATATAGTTGCGGGTTTGGGGTTTTTTTAATGAGTACTTTCAAGTCCAAGTATTTGAGATGGTAATGCAGACAATTTTACCATGCCATCTGAGATCTGGTCTCTATTTTGGGTCTTTACCACAACCATATGAAAGTAAATTAAGAAGTTATGTTGTTATACATTTGAACAGCTAACAAAACTCCATTTCTATATATAACAGCACTCTGGTTACCTTTATAGTTTGCTGCTTTATGAACTAAAACAAATGGACAGCATTTTCCTTTCAAGCAAAGCAACCAATATCAATGTAGAGATGAGAACATGTGAGATGTAATGCTGCTTATTCAAGTATTAGCAAAGCTGTTGCACTGAGGTTTTTGGCTGATTCCTATTTGCATCCAAGAACTACAGGTTTCAGACCATCTTTCACCCACGAGACATTAAAACATCCCACAAAATCCTAACATAAAACTTCCCACAGAGTTATGAGACTACTGCAATATTTATATATAAAATTCTCCATGTAACAGAAGACACAGGAGATATTAAAAGTACATGATATTCAGTTCCAGTATTTGAATTTTACTGTCCACCCAATATATTTCAATTCTGACTGTTCATTCATATTACAGTAATATTTATACCTAAGGATCAAATGCTTTATGGACTAAGTATTATACACAACACATACCTACACAACTGTGGTGGTTTAACAATAGCAGGAAATTAAACTCTAAATAAGCCACCCCCATTCCTCCCACCCCTTCCGGTAAGGGAGGGACAAAAAAGGAGAGATTATGGATTGAAGTAACAATTTACTGAAATGCACAGTAACAGCAGCAATATTAATAACAAAAGCATACAAAAAGAGAGGGTGTTTTACCCACAAAAAGGTGTTCACCCCCTCAACTTAGTTCCATGTGGCCACCAAGACCAAAAACAAGATGGCGTAGGTCATGTCCACGTGGCTTCCCCACACAAAGGCAATATGGCAACCTTTCCCTATGTGGCCACCTGGAACAAAGGCAAGAATGTGAGGGGCTCCTGCAGCTAGCGTTTCCCACCCCCCAGCCCAAGACAATGAAAAACAATGAAGGGCAAACTCCCAAAAGCTAGACCGTCCATGCCATACCACGCCACCTGTAAGGTAAACATATGCAGGTATTCTTCCCAAGAATGCCAAGGCAGCAGAAGGATTTAAAAAAAGGTTTAGTTCAGATGCAAAGACCACTTTTTTACGATGCAGTACATCGGACCTTTCAGGGGCAAAAGGTAATGCCCCACCTTCTCCAAGGCTTCTTGTATCTTCTCTCTCTCCTCCCCCACCCTCTCTGGCCCAAGGAGGCCTTGTACATGTCTGCAAACATGTTATCTTTCTGCATACCACAGAGAGAGAGAGCTGCTCTCAACTTCTCCCTGTAACTTTCTCTGAAATGCAGGAGGAAACATCTAATCCTTTTGAAAAGGCATTTTGCAGTTTTCCTAAGCAAAACAAGTTCTAGCTTTCCATTACAAATTCTTGTGCGATTGCACCTATCCCTACACCACCGCTCTGCTGGGCTCAGTTCCCTGCAGGTGTCTCCAGTGCCGCTTTGGACTGCTCTGCCATGCTGGGAGGTTGGTCCTGCTGGGGAGTTGACTTTGTGCTGCCGCTTTTCTTGGAGCGGCGTCTCAGGCTCATCACCACTGTCCTTCAGCACCACGCCTTGGAGTCGTGGTTCAAAAGGAATGGGAGGGGGACCAGTGGGGTGGCAGAGGGACCGAGTCCACAGGGGCTGATCCCGACACCTTTCCGCTGAAAAGAGCAAGGCAAAATGGCACACTTCCAGTGGGGCACTGCTTTTCCTCCG